GTGTGTGTGTGTGTGTGTGTGTGTGTGTGTGTGTTTGTGTGTGTGTGTGTTCACTGGCCACAAAAAAAACACTGCAAATACTGTACAATGTAGCTGTATGCTGTAGACCAGGCTGAATCATTTGGCAGGTAAGCTGATACTAAAACTAGCAAGGGTACACACTACTGCACACACACACACAAGTGAGGTGACGCAATTGACCCTGACCTGCATGGTAGGCATATGCGGATAATGCCGGCAGAAAAATTGGCAGAATTCGGTACTTTTTCTGGTATTAAAGTTTCATGCATGTTTGGTATGTGGATAAAGAAATGGAGCAGAATTCGAGGAATTGCCCGCCATAAGGTGTGTATGGTTCTGCCAATTTCACTGCTTTTCGAGCAGAATCTGCCACCTTTTCGAGCATTATCCGCCCTACTGCATTGTGACTATCGCATGGTCTAGATCTCTCTTTACCCTCATCGTACTGGATATGAGGCTTGACCTTCATCATGATCACACAACTTACAAGTAGGCATTTGCATGACTGTACAATGACATTGTAGATCTACATGACTACATGATTGTGCTTATGATTACAACAGCTTGCTGTCTATAGCATTGGGTATGTAGTTACAATCACACAGCTTTCTCCAGTCCTTGGCCCACACCTACATGTAGATATCTTCCAAAGTAACTAGTTTTACCCCTGAGACCATCATCAGGGATGAGGAGAAGGACGTGGATACAGAGACTATACTAGTGGTACAACGGTTCAAGGTAAGCCGTGACAACATAGTGCATCCAGTACGCAATGTGACATCAAGGTGAAGTCTTGTCACAACATACCGGTACATGCACAGGTAGCGATATCACCTGGGCGGCGCGGCGCGCCGGCAAGGGGGTCGGATTTCAGTTGCCAGCACTGTACATGTACCGATATGTGTAAGCAAGAGTACATAACTCTTGGTGTAAGGTGACTCACTGAGAATATGAATTCCGGAGCGGGTGGGTATGTGTGCAGGTGTTGAAGCTACTAATTCTAGGCCTTGTCGCCGGATATTGCTCGAAATATTGACAGGTTCTGGACGAAAAGTATTGAAATAATTAATCGGCAGAACCAACAGAGCTTATAGCGGGAAGTTCCTCGCTTCTCTTCGTTATCCATAATACCCAACATACCTGACCATGCTGACGCCCGTACCAGAAAAGTTAGTTGCCAGATTCTGCGTGTGTTTACTGTTTTCAGTGCCAGATTTATCCGCCAAGGGCTACTGTTAGTGTTACTGCGGTGTACAGTACGTCACTGAAGGTGATCGAATTGGTGAATATTCTCAAGTCAGATTGTCTCAGTACCCCCGTCAGTTCTGTCACGCGGCCTTGTCGCACTATCTGACTGTATAGTATCTCGTTACCTTGGAGGACTGGTTAATAAGTCATAACTCGTAACATTTTGGTCCTTCCTCTTTTTTATTTTTTTTATTTTTTATGAAAGTGCACATGCCTACATATAGAATGGAAGAGAAAAACAACAACAACATCAAGAGAACGTAGGGGACGGCGTGTAGGTGCTATTGAGTCTTATGCATGACGTACATGTACATGTACATGAATTCTCAAGTCATGCAATTTCACAATTTCTGCGGCTTAGCGGTGTATCATCCATTCACATACATGTACATGTATGCTAGTCTGCCATTGGGACGCTTCTTTGTGACGCTTAGTTGTCAATCTTTGTCGGTTTCTTGTTCCGCATCTCTGGTCGCCTCAATATGTTTGTGCGATCGTATGGAGAGGACAGATCCCTGTGAGAGTCTGTGCCTCGTGGAAACGCTGAAAGTCAGATGGTGATGTCTGCGAATCTCGGTCACGGTGCTAGGTTTTGTAATGGCTATAGGGTAGCCTACCCCAGCTAGGGAGCTAGGGGTAGTGCCATCGAGCCGAGCACAAGCTACCTTCCAAGGCTTTATGGAATGCTTGCCTGGTATGATGACGGGACGGCAAGACCAGACAGAACGGTCAAACCACAATTCCACAACGCAAAGCAACAACCACCCAACTTGGGAGGCGAATTTCCCCTCTTTGGAATTAGCACTAATATCCATGATGCTTCCAAGTTGGAAGGCCGTTGGTTAGCGCTATCGAGCAGTGTTCAAGCTGACTTTCATGCCGTGGAATGTATCAGTACTCCTTGTCAGTTTTGTACTAGATTGTGCACGTCTGACTGTTCAAAATCTGGTTTGGTTGGTGGACTCAATCGCATAACTTGTGCCCACAATTTCCATGTTCCAAATTATTTGATTTATTATGTTTTATACTGAAATACACAGTCCAGCATAGGATGGAATAGGAAGACAGAACCTAAGGGGAGACATGACAAAAACTTACACCGGAAAGCCGGAGCAGCGTGCTGGTGAATTGGGTTACCTCCCCCGACCATAGGTCTCGGGATCACAGGGAGGGAGGTAGACGGAGAAGGAGAGACAGAGACAGAGGGAGAGGGCAGAAAGAAAGAGAGAGAGAGAGAGAGAGAGAGAGAGAGAGAGAGAGAGAGAGAGAGAGAAGAGAGAGAGAGAGAGAGAGAGAGAGAGAGAGAGAGAGAGAGAGAGAGCGAGAGAGAGAGCGAGAGAGAGAGCGAGAGAGAGAGCGAGAGAGAGAGAGAGAGAGCGAGAGAGAGAGAGAGAGAGAGAGAGAGAGAGAGAGAGAGAGAGAGAGAGAGAGAGAGAGAGAGAGAGAGAGAGAGAGAGAGAGAGAGAGAGAGAGAGAGAGAGAGAGAGAAAGAGAGAGAAAAGCAGGCAAGTGAGAGAACGCTACACTTGAACTGAGAGCTGATCATTGGAGACCAGGGAGTACAGTACTAAAAAACCCTTTTTTAGTACTGCCTGGTGGCGACAGTGCAGCGAGGTACATGTACATCTATATACATGTATTTGTAAAATATCTTTTGTTGAAGGAGACCAGGAGAGGAGAGGAGCACTCGCTAGACTGTATAGCAGGGATACTACACCAGAACTGTATACTCTAAACCTGCAATATTCCAACTCCCCCCCCCCCCCCCCCCCCCACACACACACGGAAAAATCTGCGAAGTGAGTCTTCCATGCCCTACAAGATGTGTACAGTCATGTACATATGTACATGTATCTGTTATGCATACAATTTCAGGAAGCTTCAAAGTTGTCTTCCTATTCTGACAAGGAACTTCCTAGTGTGTTCCACATTTGGGCACATATGCGCCGTGTTGTGGGTAGAAGCAGCAGCTCACTCCAACTGTCCAAGTTCAAGTTCTACCACAGGATCAGTGTATTTAAACACAAACAGCAGCTTTGTGCATTCACTTCCTGCAGCCGCGACTGGGAGTCGGAGTCCGCAGCCAACTACACGTACATGTACATGTAAGTTGTCTTTAGTTGAACCAAAGCCAAGGTATTGCACATCATCGACTCGGAAGTATTCCCGAGTCACTATTTCTAACACAAGCTGCTGTTGTTATAGTGTTGAGCAGGGAAAATATTACTTCGAAGCAGCTGGTGGAACAGTCACCATACAGTACATGATGTTTATGTACATGTACATGTATGAGTAATGAACATGAATCAGAATATCTGAATGAGACAGATCAAGACTAGCGCCAGATTACTGTCCAGTCCACACAAACAGTTACTAGTACCCGCGGAGCCATGTGAATCGACCACTAACACCTGGTCTACACCACACGGCAGGCACAGGCGGATTATGCTCGAAAAGATGGCAGATTCTGCTCGAAAGCAGTGAAATTGGCAGAACCAGACAAACCGTATGGCTGGCGGGCCTCGAATTCTGCTCCATTTCTTTATCCACATACATGTACCAAACATGCATGAAACTTACCAGAAAAAGTACCGAATTCTGCCAATTTTTCGGCCGGTGCTTACCACACGGTATGTACAACGTAAACAAAAACCCCTGGTCGGCCGAGTTGCTCCCTGTACATCGGCACGTCGTACCTACATTTGTACATCCCCCGTGCCTTGTCTTGTGTTTGTCTCCACATGTCTCTTTGTAGGGCTGTGTTCCCAATAAAAAATAAATAAAATAAATAAACCGTGGAAAACGGTCCGCTTTCTTAAATATCTCTTCCTGCAGCCAGGACTGGCAGGTGTCGGAGTCAGCAGCAATTTTCAAAAGGATTCGTACTACCATGTACTACCATGTACTACCATGTACTACCATGTACTACCATGTACATGTACAATCAAATGCATTCTACATACAGTGAAACCTCGTTAAGAAGGACACTGATTAGTGTGTAACTACTAACTAGTGTCCATAACTCTATTGGATAAATCACTGTGTATTCACTGGGTATAACATATGGATAAGAAGAACTCCCGTTGTTGCGAACAAATGTCATCGGTCCCTTGGTCAGTTGGTGTTCGTCCTAAAGAGGTTTGACTGTACCAGTATTCGACTCGGAAACACGAGCTGCTGTTGTCTTGTTGAGCATGAGCAGGTACATGTATTATTAATATTATTCAAGCGATCCAGCGCAGTGCGCACGCACTGGTACATGGTGGTGCATTGAAAATAGAATGATGTGAGCAGCAGCTGGTGAGACAGTCACAGTCACAGAACATACTGAAGTACATGTACATTGTACAATACACATGTATGTCTATGAAGTATGAGTAAGGAATTTTGTCGCACTCGCTGACTGTATAAGATCTGGTTACGTTGGTGAACAGTTTGTCATAACTCGTAACATTTTGTCCTTTTCCTTTCTTCATCATAACTATATTGGCTCACCATCCGAGTTCAAGTAAGGAATGTATTCACACATACAGTGTACATGGTGTATGAGTAATGAAACATTGCATGTTTTAAAGTTGTTGTTCACATCATATGGCCGTGACGGTGAGTCCGGACGTCTCACATCATATGGCCGTGACGGTGAGTCCGGACGTCTCACATCATATGGCCGTGACGGTGAGTCCGGACGTCTCACATCATATGGCCGTGTGAGTCCGGACGTCTCACATCATATGGCCGTGACGGTGAGTCCGGACGTCTCACATCATATGGCCGTGACGGTGAGTCCGGACGTCTCACATCATATGGCCGTGACGGTGAGTCCGGACGTCTCACATCATATGGCCGTGACGGTGAGTCCGGACGTCTCACATCATATGGCCGTGACGGTGAGTCCGGACGTCTCACATCATACGGCCGTGACGGTGAGTCCGGACGTCTCACATCATATGGCCGTGACGGTGAGTCCGGACGTCTCACATCATATGGCCGTGACCGTGAGTCCGGACGTCTCACATCATATGGCCGTGACGGTGAGTCCGGACGTCTCACATCATATGGCCGTGACGGTGAGTCCGGACGTCTCACATCATATGGCCGTGACGGTGAGTCCGGACGTCTCACATCATATGGCCGTGACGGTGAGTCCGGACGTCTCACATCATATGGCCGTGACGGTGAGTCCGGACGTCTCACGTCTCACATCATATGGCCGTGACGGTGAGTCCGGACGTCTCACATCATATGGCCGTGACGGTGAGTCCGGACGTCTCACATCATATGGCCGTGACGGTGAGTCCGGACGTCTCACATCATATGGCCGTGACGGTGAGTCCGGACGTCTCACATCATATGGCCGTGACGGTGAGTCCGGACGTCTCACATCATATGGCCGTGACGGTGAGTCCGGACGTCTCACATCATATGGCCGTGACGGTGAGTCCGGACGTCTCACATCATATGGCCGTGACGGTGAGTCCGGACGTCTCACATCATATGGCCGTGACGGTGAGTCCGGACGTCTCACATCATATGGCCGTGACGGTGAGTCCGGACGTCTCACATCATATGGCCGTGACGGTGAGTCCGGACGTCTCACATCATATGGCCGTGACGGTGAGTCCGGACGTCTCACATCATATGGCCGTGACGGTGAGTCCGGACGTCTCACATCATATGGCCGTGACGGTGAGTCCGGACGTCTCACATCATATGGCCGTGACGGTGAGTCCGGACGTCTCACATCATATGGCCGTGACGGTGAGTCCGGACGTCTCACATCATATGGCCGTGACGGTGAGTCCGGACGTCTCACATCATATGGCCGTGACGGTGAGTCCGGACGTCTCACATCATATGGCCGTGACGGTGAGTCCGGACGTCTCACATCATATGGCCGTGACGGTGAGTCCGGACGTCTCACATCATATGGCTGTGACGGTGAGTCCGGACGTCTCACATCATATGGCCGTGACGGTGAGTCCGGACGTCTCACATCATATGGCCGTGACGGTGAGTCCGGACGTCTCACATCATATGGCCGTGACGGTGAGTCCGGACGTCTCACATGCAATTGTCATCTGTGGACTAAGACTGTGGTAGAAAGATGTGCTCATCCTGCAACTTACTACCAACGTCTATGGCTTCACAAAGTCACGGATGAGGACATCAAACATACTCAATAGCAGGGCCTTAGCAGCAGCAGCAGCAGCAGCAGCAGCAATGATCTGCTATTCACGGTTACTTCTTGTGCCCTGCATGATTCCTGCGAGGCAGGCAGTGTGCTGTGAGAAAACGTCCTGACTTGTGTTCAACTGTTACTTCAACTTTGTTCAACTAACGTTACTTTTCTTGGCCAGAGCAATTTGACGTGCTCTGAACCAGGTAGCAGTGCAGCAATGCATGATAGTGCGATTGCACTGATTGTACAGTACAATCAGTCATGAGTACTAGTATGGGCAAACGTCTTGGCTTGATGTGTTCCTCAACACGTCAGGTGATGCGGCCGCGAATCCGGCTAACTAATTTACTTTACTTTTTACATGATGACTATGGACATACATGTAAGTTTTTTTCTAAAGAGTGGTGCATTTCTAAGCAACTATTTACCTTTTTTTGGTACTTGTACATAGTCTGTCATTAGGTAGTGGCGAGCGGCGCGTCGTCGGCCAAGCAACACCAGATTCACTACTGTCCTTGCTGTCCTTGTCTCACAACTGTCTGTCTAGTCTAGGTCTACAAGTAATTATTATTATTCTTTTATTCCCCGATGGCGTGACGCCAATAAGGATGACTGATACTATACGTGTGATAGAACTGATACTATACGTGTGATAGAACTGATACTATACGTGTGATAGAACTGATACTATACGTGTGATAGAACTGATACTATACGTGTGATAGAACTGATACTATACGTGTGATAGAACTGATACTATACGTGTGATAGAACTGATACTATACGTGTGATAGAACTGATACTATACGTGTGATAGAACTGATACTATACGTGTGATAGAACTGATACTATACGTGTGATAGAACTGATACTATACGTGTGATAGTAGTAGTAGTAGTAGAATTTATTATTTTGATAGGGAAGGCCCTACAGGCAGACTGATACTAGCCAGAAACAGCTACATGTAGATGGAAATGAACCATGTTAACCGGGGAGGCAAGAAGAAATGGATCATGAAATACAAGCGGGGGCAATAACGTTAGCAGGGGTGATCGAGATAGTTAAAGTACACGTTGTTGTTGTTGTTGTTGTTGTTGTTTCAAATCTTTATTCTCACGTTGTTGTTGTTGTTGTTGTTGTTGTTGCTGTTGTTTCAAATCTTTATTCTCACGATAGCCAGTGGCCAATAAGAGATAATAGTGAAAGAAAGGAGAAAGAGTGAGGAAGAATTGGGTGGGCAGAGCCTAGGGGTTAATGACTACTTACGTGTACGGGCAGGGGTGGTCGCTACACGAGCATACAGAGTTGTGCAACAGCAGGGATATCTGGGATTTGAAGAGAGTACGAGAAGGGATTTCGCGAAGCTGGGTGGGCAAGCAATTAAAGTAATGAAGGGCCTTGTACAGGGGAGAATGGAGACAGCGATCAGTCCTCGGAGTTGGCAAGTGCCAAGTACGAGAGCGACGTAAATTATACGAAGGTTGCACGTTGCTAGCAGTATTGTTGCTGTTGTTGTTTCAAATCTTTATTCTCACGATAGCCAGTGGCCACTAAGAGATAATAGTGTAAGAAAGGAGAAAGAGTGAGGAAGAATTGGGTGGGCAGGGCCTAGGGGTTAATGACTACTTAATTAAGTGTACGGGCAGGGGTGGTCACCATTGTTGTTGTTGTTATTATTCTTTTATTCCACGATGGCAATTGTTGTTGTTGTTGTTGTTCAGTGATGATGATGTTGTTGTTGTTGTTGTTGTTGTTGTTGTTGTTGTTGTTGTTGTTGTTGTTGTTGTTGTTGTTGTTGAATTTTATTTAAAGTCGCAACCTCTTTTTCCAATATTATTATACACAAGCACAGTGACCTCAAGTACGTGTACGCAGATCCTGCCAAAACAGCCCTCGAAGTCCCAAAACACTAGCAGAAGCCCTAGCGGGCTGGACTACTGTTAGCAAGAGTACACCACCCGAAGCTGCGTTCGTCTCCCCCTAGCTAGGTCTACCCTATTCGTAAATTCTCCTTTCTTTTCCTCCTACTCCACGTGGCTCCAACTGCCTCCCAGTGTTAGACAAGCTCCAGATATGCCCAAATTCCGTACCCTCGTCAGACAGCACTTCAGTATCTCCCAGTAAACAAAGTCACAGTCACCACTTCCGCTGCATAGCTCGCTGAGCATCCCATTGCTTTGTAAGTTGCTAATCCCTTCCCACTTTGTGTACGTGCTCTTAATTTTCTTTTTTTCTCTTCTTCCGTGGTTGGTCTCACCCTCTCCTCAATTCAATTGGCTGTCTTGACATGCAACGAGGTGCAGAAATAAATAAATAAATAATACATAACCCCGGGGGGTTATGTACTCTTGCTGTTAGTACACTGTGCATTTATATTTATTACGTCATCTCAAGAGTCAAGACTCAGTGGAAACACCGGCCAATATTAAGAGAGTGGGTGATTGCCAACCACGGCGAAAAATAAAAGTAAGGAGGCGGAAAACAAAAGAGTAGCAAATCAACAGCAACAACAACTCAGTAAAGAAAGAGAATGTCAAATAAGAACAGTGAAAAGCAAGAGAGACGCAAAGGACATGTGGATAATGAGCTACGTATGTCGTAGTAAATAAGGGGCGCCACGGATTTTGAACAGGCGGAGGGAGACCATATCCTTAACTTCTCTGGGCAGAGTGAGCCAAACAGAAAAAGCAATAAAGAGAGGGGAGCGCAAAAGAGTGGATGAGTTACACTTGGGGAGCACGAGCTAGGTAGGTACATTTTTATTTGAATTCGCAGAACCAAACGGGCGGTGTCGTCCAATTACATGGAAGCGAATGGAAACAATAAAATATTGTAGGAAATAGCCTAACATGATAGCAGGGTGTAGTACAAAGCAAAGAACGCTCAGTCAATGAATACCGTTAACGTTAGAATACAGCAACGGGGAGGCGATAAACAGCACATGACTGGTACTGTGGAGTACCGCAAACGTTCAAAGATTCCTGTAGTGTTCAGTAGTGGGTGCTAGTCCCTAGTTCTTAGAGAAGAGAACCAATTAAAACACATGAGATGAGGTGGGCACAACTCAAGCTTAATAGAATGGACAAGAGCAGCCAGGTGTGCACTGCGTCTATGTGATAACGGAGTGGTGTGAGCGAGTTTATCAAGAGCGGATGATGAGAGCATGCGGGGTTGACGGAGGAGAATTTTAAGGATTTTCTTGTCGTGTATTTCAAGCTTTGCAGCAGTGGACGAGGACAACTCATCCCAAGACGTATCGGCATAATCGAATACTGGGCGAAGATAGATTGAATAAAAAAGAAGCTTGCAAGAGATTGGGAGGAGCATGGTTAACATAATTATATTCTTTTATTCCACAATGGCGTGATGCCAATAAGGACGATTGAAAAGTGTGATAGAACTGATACTAGCCAGAAACAGCTAGATGGATATTACCAGGGGAGGCAAGAAGCAATGGATCATGAAAAACAAGCGGGGGCAAAAACGTTAGCAGGGGTGATCGAGGTAGTTAATTACACGTTCGAGATATCAGAAACTAGAGGGGTGCGCAGAGCAGGAACAGGTACTGCTCAAAAGAAGACTGGATGCATTGTTTGGGAAAAAATGTCTACGATGTCGGGTTGTGATGTCGATGGGGAGTGAGTTGTAGAGGGCGAGGGCACTGTTGATGGGGGAATCTCGGTACCTGTTTGTGTGTGCGTGTCCGATGGAGTAGGTCCTTGTCTGTCGAAGGGCGTACGGTTGGTGTTGACGTTGTGGTGCAAGATGTGGTTGTTGCATGCTAGTAGGACTTGTTTAACAAGGAGTCGTGAGCCACGGGTGGGAAGCTTTGCGTGATGGAGGAGGGAACTGTGGTGAACTGGTGCAAAGAGGGGAATATAGCACGGCGTTTTAATTCTCTCCAATGTGTCCCGCTGTTGCTGTGTGGTGTTGGAGAGGACACGGCTGCCATATTCGAGAACGGGTCGGATGTAGGTCGTGTATATTAGTACTAGATAGGGTGGAAGCGTTCATTGTGCCACGTGTCTTATGCCGGAGTAGGTGTACTTGACAAGTAGTAGTTTTTTGGCTTTATTGGTAGTTTCTATGATGTGTTGGGTCCATCGCATAATTATCGTCTTGGAGTGTAACACCAAGGTTGTGATCCTTCGCAGTAATCAGCGTGACGAATGAACAGATGCAGTACAGAATGTCAGGAAGAACGACAGACAGGATGTACTGGCGGCGTGCAAGTTTGCTCAGTTGCCGGAAGGTGCGACGTAAGACACCCACCTTCTGGGATACTTTTCTAACAATTACATCAATGTGCTTGGTCCATGACAAGCAGTCGTCAACTTGGATACCAAGGAGACAGGTTTCGGGTAAATAATAATTATGCTCAAGGGGCAAGAGCCTTGAAGAGGGACAATGTAGAAAAAGAGCTGTGCCGTCGACACAATAATAATATTATAATTATTATGGTAGAGAACCTGGTAGACAGCGCGGACATCAGACTTGCGGGATCTAGCTAGGTGAGTAACAACTGCTCTGACATAGAAAAATATCCAGAGAGCAGAGCCAATGGAAATTCATGTAGCAGAACGCTATTGAAACGACGTAAAACGCCTGTTGTGAATTTGAGTGTGTGTACGGGTGTGTGTGTGTGTGTGTGTGTGTGTCGGCATGCGACTCCTTCTTCATGGAAGAAAAAAAATAGCAAAAAGTCGGATTGCGTCAGAGTGTCCTGTTACTTCAAACGACCAAAGTCGTGGGTAACATAGTATTAAAGGCACTGCGTTATGATACGAAGTACACTCTCAACTGAGCCGACTCGCTGGTTGTCACGCTTTACACTCTACGAGTACAGTGTTTTTGTGTGTGGTGTGTGTGTGTGTGTGTGTGTGTGTGTGTGTGTGTGTGTGTGTGTGTGTGTGTGTGTGTGTGTGTGTGTGTGTTGCCAGCTAGTTTGGCTGGTGGGTACACTTATGCCAGATAGTGTTGGGTCTGTTGCCAACGGGCTCGGCTGCTTGAAGGTGTATTGTTGTACCTACCACCTTTGTTGGTTTCAGGGTTCATATACTTTCTATTTGAAGTATACATACCTGTTAACCATGTACTTCTTCTGGCTAGATTAACTCTTGTGTAATCAATGGTGCTAGTGAAGCTAATATCAGATCCACTCTGATTTAGCCACCCACACTAGTGGCAAGTATTACCTTCACTGGGGGCAGGGGTGACTGCAGTTGGATCCCGGGACGGATACCCTGATGCCGTCAATCCTTTTTCTGCACCTTGTCCTCACCCACTTACTGAGGTGTGGTGAACCCATAAGTGGGATCATTTCAAGTCCACCCTAGTTTGGGGATTTCAGGGGGTGTCGGCCGTTGGGTGGTTCAATAGCCAATTGAGTCATCTTTCCAAGATTCCTTTTGAGTCTCTCTCCCCTATCTCGGGGAGACCCAAGTGACCAGTTTTGGCAATGAGCAAGTACAAGTACAAGTGTGTGTGTGCATGCCGGAGTATGTGGTGTGATGTGGGTGCCAGAAAAAATGTAAAAAGACCAAAAATTAGGGATTCACTGGTCAGAAAAAGCCACTTTATAGCTGTGTGGTGTAGACCAGGCTGAATAGTGGTGGTCAATTCTTTAGCCTTGCAAGCTGTTGAATGGTGCAATCCCAGCACAAGTTGCTATGGCTTCTGATGTAGCATCGCTATCATCGCCTCCGGCGATGGGCCCAAGGCATCCGTATGGTTTTTAATCTAAGTACAAAAAGATCGGCAAGTAGAGGGCTGCGGCCAAATGTTATCCTGAGGCTACGCTTGAAGCATCGAATGAGTGTGTTGTATTAACTTGTATAGGGTTGCTGATATCGTGTGAACGTAGCAGTTGCTGGCGTACTTTTTTTTTTTTTTTTTTTTTTTTTTTTACTGAATACCACAGTACCATCAGATGCTGCACAGCGGGGGCGGTGGCATATTGGATGGAAGTGGGGGCGGGGCAAAAGTAACTCCTCCGACCAAAGGTCTCGGAATCATTGTTACTCCTGTGCGCGGATACATAGGAGAAAAGAAACATGTGCATCGAAGAGGGGAGCACCGGCTTTGCAAACGATAATGGGGAGAATTTGAGATTGGGATAGGACAAAACAATAGTAAAAGCAGTGCACCGTAGGAAGATGGAGTGAACTGATAATCGGATTTTAAGGCTGAGCGAAGGGGATCAAAGAGGGGTAGAAGGGAGCTGGAGTGCGGTCAGTATAATTAGGCTGGTGTGTTGGCAGAGATCATAGCCTGTCTGTGGCCCACTCCCACTTGCTGCGCCGCAAGTGGTCGTTGACGTTTTTCTTGAACGTGTGCATGCCTCTGCGAGAAGGGGGAGACTGCAGAAGGGTAGGTGGGAGCTGATTCCACGTTGCGATGAGGGAGTGGGGAAATGAGCGGAGCGTGTAGTTTCGTGCCTGAGGGGGAAGGATACTGGTGAGTTGCGATGGATGATGTGTTGCAGATCTGGTTGTCGCTCGAGTAGGCATGCGGTGTTGCGTGCGGCTGCTGATGGTGGCAGAATGGCTTTCACCATTTCCGGACCCTCCACAAAGTGCAGCTTGTACAGAAAGCAGAGCCCTGCTACGGTACGGCGAATGTCGAGGCTCGGGAGGTTGTTGTTGTTGTTGTTGTAGAAGTTTATTTAACGTCGCACCACAAACAGGCGATTTCGCCTCCTTTGATACATGTGGACGACAGAAGGAATGAGAGAGAGGGGGGGGGGACAGAAGTATGGAGAGAGGAGGGTAGAAATAAATAAGCAATCAACCTCAGGGCTACACCAAAGCAAAAACGGAATGGGAACATACTATATACAAAATAGCTTCATACATATATTGCAAAACACGTTTACTATTCTTCAGTCCGCTATACCACAGAAACACACTAGCCGAAAAGCATTTAAACGGAGCCATGATGCGCTTTTAGCAGGGCACAGAACTGAAGGTGGCTGGGCTCGGAACGGAGATCAGGCGGGAGCTGGTTCCACAGGACTGCGCCGATGAACTGCATGGTCGCTCGACCCGCAGGACCGGGCCAAAATGGTACTCGAACGAGGTGATGTGCTGCTCCCCGAGTGCGGTCACCAGTAACTCTCACGAAGAAGCTGGTGAAGAGGGAGCTAGCTCGGGAGAACAGACAACGACGGACAAAGATGAGGAGCTTAATGTTAAACATGTCCTCCAGGGTGGTGAGGCGGAGCTGTTCAAAGATCGGGCTCGTGCGCGACCACGGTGGCAGACCGAAGAAGCCGCGGATAGCGCACTTCGTTAGACGTGTGAGGGGCTCCATGTTGCCAATTTGAAGTGACGGATAAAAGGCGTTGGAAGCGTACGACAACCTACCCTGGATCATCGACCTGTAAAACAGGATCTTTGACGCCAGGGTGAGGCTTCGGCGGCTCCGCCACAGCGCACCTACTGACTTCCGCACCTGCTGGATTGTGTGATTGACGTGAGGCTCCCAGGAGAGCTGCCCATCTACCATTACGCCCAGGTACCGCGCTTGTTCCACAACTGCAAGGGCTGCATTCCCACAGCGAATTCGAATGTTATCTGTGTCAGGGGCTGGGCCTCTTGGGGTAATCAACAGAGCTTGCGTTTTCTTTTGGTTCAGCATTAGCCCGCGGTCCTCCAACCACTGCGACAGGCCAGTGATGGCTGTGCTTAGAGAAGAGCACACTTGTTCGCAACTGCCCGAGGCTTCAATTGCAATGTCGTCTGCAAATTCCTGGTTTGTGACCTGCTGGGGCAAGCAGCATCGAAGGTTACGGATGTATAGTGTGAACAGGAGGGGGCCGAGGACGGATCCTTGCGGCACCCCTCGACTGCATGCGACGTATTCCGAGCAATTTCCGCCCACGACTACGCGTTGAAGCCGCTCACTCAGGTAACTAGTGAACCATATCTGGACAGTACCGCCGACCCCAATGTCGGATAGCTCCTGTGCCAAGATGGTGTGTTTGACACAGTCGAAAGCCTTCGACATATCCACGAATATCACACCTGTGAGTTTGCGCTCATACTTCGCTTTCAGCCAGCGATTGACAGCTAGCACAAGAGCGTCCTCCGTACTGTGGTTCTTCCTGTACGCGAACTGCGAGTCAGGGAGAATACTGTGATCGGTCAGAAAGGATGTAAGCTGAGCTTTGACGATCTTCTCGAGGAGGCGAGAAACGACTGGTAGTAGAGAAATAGGTCGATACGCAGTAGGCTGACAAGGGTCAAGGCCGCCACCTTTGAATAGCGGCGACACATTAGCAATTTTAAACTGACGGGGAACACACCCCTGCAATAACGAAGTATTGAAAATGATGCTGAGCGAGGGAGCCAGTATTGATGCCGAGTTTCTAAGGACAATACCCGGCAAGTCATCATGTCCAGTTGCTTTTGACGCGTCAACGGACTGGAGAAGGGCCGTAATGTCCTCCGTCGAAACAGGCGCAAATTCCGATTCCAACAGGTACTTGTGGTGGGCTTGAACTTTTCGCTCGTCCAGTCACCACGTTTATCGTATTCCAGAGCTTCCGTCCATCCTTTCCGGCCGACTGTAGGCGAGCTTGAAAATACTGATCCCTTAGCCTCCGATCTAGCTTGCGCGCGGCTGCGCGGAGAGTGCGGTGTTGCTCTCGCAGGCGGACATCGTTTGGAGAGCGTGAAAGAAGTCGGTGGGCCTTGTTTCGTTGACGCACAGCAGATACAAGTTCAGGACACAACCATGGGCAAGGTCGGCGCCTCGGCTTACGAGGAGGTTGTAAGGGGGCGTGACGATCTAGAGCAGTAAAAACCTTTGCGTACCATTCGCTTATCATTGCATCAACATCATTCGACTTGCTGAAAATCTCAAGATTGCAGTCCTGCAAGTCAGCGTTAAAATGCTCCCAATTTATCCTCCACACTCGCCTCTTTCGAGATGCGACTCGTTCGGACTGCCGGGTGGCGACGATAATGTTGGCCACAAATGCGTAGTGGTCGCTGATGTCACACTTGATGACCGTGCATGTTCCAACTAGAGAGTTAGGGGCGAGGAGCAGATCTATAAGGGTGGAAGTTGATGCCGTTACTCTTGTCGGTGTCCGGATGTGGTTTTCCAGATCAAACCGCTGGAGCATGGTGTGCATCCGGCTGTGTCCCGAGCACATGTCCACATTGAAGTCACCAATGGCGACCACGCGGTTGTTTCGTCGCAAGGTTAGATTGTTCAGACTGATTTCTAGGTCTTGCCATACTGCAGCAGTAGTGGAAGGCGGAAGGTAGAACGTAGCGAGGGTGATGGGTTCACCGGATTCTGTCTTCAAGGTGAGTATCAGATTTTCGATTGTGTCACTCTCGAGTTCAGCGTGTCTGGAAACAGCCAGGGTATCTCGACTGTATACAGCTATACCGCCACCAGGTCTGTGCCCGCGATTGCGCCTAAAGAGTCTATAATGAGGTATATGAATGGATGAGTCAGAAATCGAACAATCAAGCCAAGTTTCAGCAATGCCGAAGATATCTACATTGTGGTAGTTTATGAAGTTTTGGATTTCGCCTAACTTCTTTCTAAGGCTGCATACATTCAGAAAAGCAAGTTTACAAGACTTCTGTCGACCGACAGTAGCTCTATGTAATTGTGGATTCATTTAATAGATCTATAAGGAAGAACTACATCTAGAAACTAATCCAAAACCTAAAACAAAAAATACACAGGCAGGAGGTATGATCCATCTCCAATTATGTGCAGGGCACGGCGCTGGATGGCAGTGAGGCGGGCCAAGGTGGTGGGGGCTGCGCTCATCCACACCAGCATGCCATACTCTAGCACAGGGCGGACAAAGCCACGGTACACGATTGCCCGGTGCTTTGGGTCTAGCACAGCCGATGCCTTACGGAGGAAGCCGAGCCGCTGGGCTCCGCGTACTGCAAGCTGTCGGATATGGCTGCGGAATGCCAGCTGCCTGTGGAAGGTGACGCCAAGAAGCTTGAGCTCCTCTACTTCTGGCACGACTGCTCCTTGGAAGCGTATTGCGTTCGGGGGGGGGGGGGGGGTTGGCGAGCGGTGGTGGCTGATGGTCAATGCCTGCGACTTTGTGGGCTCGAACTTGATCCTCCAACTGCTTCCCCATGCTGCCAGTGAGTCTACTGCCTGCTGGAGGAACTCCATGGTGGATTGGATAATGCTTAGGTAAAAGGAACGTTGTGCCTGGGTGGTGATGTGCTGTCGTATTCTGCGGAATGCGGCCAGCTTACGGTTGACGTCAGCAACAACTTTTCCGACCTGCTCCTTGAAGGCAAGGTGCTGGTCGACTAGCACTCCAAGGTAAAGGACACACTGGGAAGGGGACACTGGGAAGTTACCACAGATGACAGTCGGAAGGTAGGTGGAACTGGGGTGGTCTTCCGGTGGACGATTAATAGTTGCGTTTTGTCGGGGTTCAGTAGGAGGCCCAGTTCCGCGAGGTGTGAATTAACCGCATCGAAGCTCTCTGATAGTCGGTCCTGTATCGTGTTGATGCAGCTGCTCGATGTGTAGAGTCCTATATCGTCGGCGTAGAGTATGTTAGATGTGTGAGTTGGTGTGACGTCTGTTACGTGTCTTGTGTAGATCGTGAAAAGAACGGGGGCCAGGACAGAGCCTTGAGGTACCCCTCGACTACAGGTCACGGAGTCGCCGGATGTTTTTGTGGAGGGGTTCGTCACTGTCTGTCGATGAGCGCTTAGATAGGAGGCGAACCAAGACAGTGCTGTGCCACAAATACCGCAGGAGTAGAACTCGTTGATCAGTGGCTGGTGCTTGACCCGATCGAACGCCTTGCTCATGTCCAAGAATAACACTCCGGTGTACTGACCGTCGTCCAAGCGTTGTTGCCACTTTGATATAGCCAGTGAAAGTGCATCCTCCGTGGAGTGATCAGAGCGGTAGGCGAACTGTTGGGGAGGAAGGATGTTGAGCTCTGGGTGGGTGTTGATATAGCGCTGCAGTTGATGAAGGACGATCTTTTCTAGAAGCTTGGATACGATGGGGAGTAGAGATATGGGGCGATAGTTAGAGGGGCATTCTGGATTGCCTTTCTTGAAGAGGAGAAATACAGACGCTACTTTATATATGTCTGGAAAGGAACCGAGGGAGAGTGATTCGTTGAAAATGAGACAGAGTGTGTGTGGTGTGGTGTGGTGTGTGTGTGTGTGTGTGCGCGCGCGTTTTGATGTGGGCGGTGATGACTGTATGGCGGCGACGAGTCCGAGATGTACCCGGTGTTGGTTTTGAGTTTGGGCATTGTGATGGTGACAGCAACCTTTATCGCAAGCCTACCAGGACGGATCCCGTCGCCATTGCCACTGAATCCCAGTTTGCAGACGACTGAGCACTTTTCGCGACGACTCGTGTCGGAGTGGAGAGGGCACTTGCATTGTTTGATACGACCGCAGCTTAGTTTGGCCTCACAATCAGCGCTAACAAGACACAGTTCTTGGTTGCGGGTAGGGATGTTTCGCCTGGGGACTGCGCTCCAATGGAGCTAGGTGGCACGTCATCCAGTGTGTTTCGGAGTTGCGGTATCTTGGATTTCTCATTCATCGCGGTAGCCGGTCAACACAGGACATCACTGCTTGGATTGCGAGGGAGGGGACATCACTGCTCGGATTGCGCATGCCTCTAGTGCTTATGGCGCCTTGCAAAGGACCATCTTCGGCAACTCTGACCTCGATCTGCATATCAAGAGGTGTGTGTTTAATGCATGTGTGCTGTCGCTCCTCCTCTATGGGTCAGAGTGTTATTATTATTATGAAATGACCCAAAGGCAATGTGTTAGACACTATTGCAACACGATCTCCAGCGTTTGTTAGTCTTTCACATGCGGTGCATCCGTTCCATCTTGAGTGTGTCCCGCAGAGATTGCTGGCATCACCACACCACCAACGCCCAACTGTTGGAGGTGTGGGGTGACACTGCTACCGTCTGCGTGAAGGTTGCACAGCGTCGGCTGGAGTGGCTGGGCCATGTTCAGTGCCCGAATGGACAGTAGCCGGATGCCGAGGCAGATCCTGTTTGGCTCACTTCCCACACGTCGCCCAGCACACAGCCCTCGCAAGCGCTGGAAGGATTGCATTGTGTCCGATCTAAGAGTTCGTGGGAGCAGCTTCAAGCCATCTGCGCCTTCTCGATCGAGTGCAGAGACGCGCCCTCCACATTCTTGGCCCTGATGTCCTCCTCCAGAGTTTGGCAGCAAGGAGATTGGTCGCTGCCCTCAGCTATACGTATAAACTGATGTGTCTGGCAGGGCCACCGCAACTAACGTCGCTGGTCCCCCCCTCCCCACAGCTTTCTCCACCAACATGTCCTCGAACTCGGTCCGACCACTCCGTGCGCCACGAGTCTCAGCTGCATAACGTCCTCCCGGCTTCCTCTGCTGATTACGTGCGACAGTGCTTCCCCTACAGCATCGTTGACGAGTGGAACAACTTTCCCTCAACTGTGCTGCAGTTTCCGCCACGCCTGACGTCCCTCCAGTCGTTCAAGGGCAAGGTGCATCAGCACCTACGACAAAGCCGCTGGTATTGGACTACAGACTGGCTGTAACACCCCATATACCCACAATCAACTCCCTCCCCCTCACTTATCTGTTAATTTTACATGTGTTTCGTAATCCCGTCCATGGTGCGCTGGATAGCGCTAACGCCGAGACCCTAGATCGGCGTTGCTAGTCCCGCCTCACCGGCACAGGCTCCCTGAGAGCCCCTACTAGTAGTACATTGTCTGCCTTTCTCCTTTGTTGTCTCGATCATTATTTTCTTTTTTCTTCTTCTTCTCCTCTCTTTGTTATGGTCTATCAGTAGGAGGTGCATTCTGTAAAAAAAAAAAAAACCCGAACCGCAGCGCATGCCTCCGGAACGTCCGCCATCTGTGCCCTGCGCTGGCAACGGTGGCCATCAACTCGTACCGAAGCCCGAGTCGCCTATTTGTTGGCAGTGAAAGCATTTCCTCCAACGAGGGCACCACACAAGGGGATCCACTGGAAATGCCTCTCTACGCCATCGGTATTCTCCCTCTCATTCAGGCAACTGACACGGATGGTGCCAGGCAGCTGTGGTACGCTATTGTTGCTATAACTTATAAGAGAAATTCTGTGGGTGCACATCCAGTGCATTTGCAGATTTGCGTGCTTCTCTGGCGACGGGCGTATACATGGTACATACATACATGGTGTGTGTGTGAGTGCGTATAGTGTGTGTTCGGTGTATGTGTGTGTGTGAGTGCGTGAGTGTGTGCATGTGTGTGTGCGTGGTGTGTGTATGTGTGTGTGTGTGTGTGTCCGTTTTCATGTGGGCGGTGGTGACTGTATGGCAGCGACGAGTCCGAGATGTACCCGGTGTTGGTTTTGAGTTTGGGCATTGTGATGGTGACAGCAACCTTTATCGCAAGCCTACCCGGAGGGATCCGGTCGCAACTGCCACTGAAATCCCAGTTTGCATACGACTGAGCACTTTTCGCGGCGACTCGTGCTGGGGCGGAGACGGCACTTGCATTGTTTGATACGACCGCAGCTGAGTTTAGCCTCACAGTCAGCGCTAACAAGACACAGTTCTTGGTTGCGGGCAGGGATGTTTTGCCTGGGGACTGCGTTGGGTTCGCAGAAAGGATGGTCTAGCTGTTCACCGCTGTTCCGCTCCTCAGCCTCCTGAGCCCTGTCGAGTCTCTGTACAGGATGCCTGCTGTGCTGTGCCCGCTGCTTTCGGACTGCCCAAAGCCGCGGTCGTCACCAGTGCGCGAGGACTGGTCCCCGCCCGACTGCCCAGCAGCGTAATAATAATAACGTTCACTTATGTATGCATGTGTTCTCGCCGGTTCCGTTTGCTCCACCATCTCCGGCGTCATCAGACTGCGTGCTCCATCTTCCTCTCTGATGCCCCTCCGAGTCCTACGTGACCCCTTTGGTAGTGACTCTACAGAACAGGACAGGTGTGTGCGTGTGTTTGGGCGTGTGTGTGTGTGTGTGTGTGCGTGTGTGCGTATGTGTGTGTGCGTGTGTTTGGGCGTGTGTGCGTATGTGTGTGTGCGTGTGTGCGTATGCGTGTGTGTGTGTGTGCGTGTGTGTGTGTGTCAGTGTTTGCGAGTGGTGTATCCAAAACGGATGCGAGTTGTGGAACTGTTCGTCGAGAATTCGACCATAGAGAGCCGCCCTAAAACTGTATTGCACGACGGCCATATGCAAAGGGCTAGGGTCCTGGGAGAAAGGGAATACGTGTAGATAATAAACTGGAGTAAATGGGGTAAATAATATGCTCAAGGAGTAAGAGGAACAATCTAGAAAAAAAGCTGTGCCGTCGACACAGTAATATTATTGCAGTATAATTATTATGGTAGTGAACCTGGAAGACAGCACGGACACCAGACTTGCGGGATCTAGCTAGGCAAGTAACAACTGCTCTGATATAGAAAAATATCCAGAGAGAAGAGCCAATGGAAATTCATGTAGCAGAACGCTATTGAAACGACGTAAAACGCCTGTTGTGAATTTGAGTGTGTGTATATGTACATGTATGTGTCTGTGTCTGCATGCGACTCCTTCTTCATGGAAGAAAAAAAGTAGCAAAAAGTCGGATTGCGTCAGAGTGTCCTGTTACTTCAAACGACCAAAGTCGTGAGTAACATAGTAAGGCCCTGCGTTATGATACGAAGTACACTCTCAACTGAGCCGACTCGCTGGCTGTCACATTTTACGCTCTACGAGTACAGTGTTTTTGTGTTTGGGGTGTCACTGTCTGTGTGCGCGCGTGTGTGTGTGTGTGTGTGTGCGTGTGTGTGTGTGTGTGTGTGTGTGTGTGTGTGTGTGTGTGTGTGGTGTGTGTGCGTGGGTTGTTGTTGTTGTTGTTGTTTATTTTACTTCGCAGATTCTAACGGGCAAGTTGCCCAATAACAAGAAAGCGAAGGCAAAGAAAATAATACTAATAAAAGAAATAACCGGGGGCAGCAGAAAATGAATAATAGCTTTAAGAACTCAGATGGTGAGCCAAGGAACAAATTTCCATGTTATCCCTAATAATCGCTTTTAAAAGTAAAAAGAAAAGAGCGGGTGGTACAGCAGACTTCCTATTCTGAATTCCCTGAACGAAGCAGAGACATTAGTTGGGTACATGTCACTATTTCACAGTAGCAAGAGAGCTACCTCGGTCGACATCAGTGTGGGTGTGTGTGTATGTGTGCGTGTGTGTGTGTGTGTGTGTGTGTGTGGTGTGTGTGTGTGTGTGTGTGTGTGGTGTGTGTGTGTGTGTGCGTGTAGTGTGTGTGTGTGTGTGTGTGTGTGTGTGTGTGTGTGTGTGTGTGTGTGTGTGTGTGACTGTGTGTGTCCGTTTTCATGTGGGCGGTGGTGACTGTATGGCAGCGACGAGTCCGAGATGTACCCGGTGTTGGTTTTGAGTTTGGGCATTGTGATGGTGACAGCAACCTTTATCGAAAGCCTACCCGGAGGGATCCGGTCGCAATTGCCACTGAATCCCAGTTTGCATACGACTGTGCACTTTTCGCGACGACTCGTGCTGCGGCGGAGACGGCACTTGCATTGTTTGATACGACCGCAGCTGAGTTTAGCCTCACAGTCAGCGCTAACAAGACACAGTTCTTGGTTGCGGGCAGGGATGTTTTGCCTGGGGACTGGGTTGGGTTCGCAGAAAGGATGGTCTATACTAGCTGTTCACCGCTGTTCCGCTCCTCAGCCTCCTGAGCCCTGTCGAGTCTCTGTACAGGATGCCTGCTGTGCTGCACACTGTGCTGCGTGTGCCCGCTGCTTTCGGACTGCCCAAAGCCGCGGTCGTCACCAGTGCTCCAGGACTGGTCCCCGCCCGACTGCATGCCCAGCAGCGTAATAATAATAACGTTCACTTATGGATGCATGTGTTCTCGCCGGTTCCGTTTGCTCCACCATCTCCGGCGTCATCAGACTGCGTGCTCCATCTTCCTCTCTGATGCCCCTCCGGGTCCTACGTGACCCCTTTGGTAGTGACTCTACAGAACAGGACACGTGTGTGCGTGTGTTTGGGCGTGTGTGCGTATGTGTGTGTGCGTGTGTGCGTTTGTGCGTATGTGTGTGTGTGTGTGTGCGTGTGTGTGTGTGTCAGTGTGTGCGAGTGGTGTATCCAAAACGGATGCGAGTTGTGGAACTGTTCGTCGAGAATTCGACCATAGAGAGCCGCCCTAAAACTGTATTGCACGACGGCCAGATGCAAAGGGCTAGGGTCCTGGGAGAAAGGGAATACGTGTAGATAATAAACTGGAGTAAATGGGGTAAATAATATGCTCAAGGAGTAAGAGGAACAATCTAGAAAAAAAGCTGTGCCGTCCACACAGTAATATTATTGCAGTATAATATTATGGTAGTGAACCTGGAAGACAGCACGGACACCAGACTTGCGGGATCTAGCTAGGCAAGTAACAACTGCTTTGACATAGAAAAATATCCAGAGAGAAGAGCCAATGGAAATTCATGTAGCAGAACGCTATTGAAACGACGTAAAACGCCTGTTGTGAATTTGAGTGTGTGTACATGTATGTGTGTGTGTGTGTGTCTGCATGCGACTCCTTCTTCATGGAAGAAAAAAAGTAGCAAAAAGTCGGATTGCGTCAGAGTGTCCTGTTACTTCAAACGACCAAAGTCGTGAGTAACATAGTAAGGCCCTGCATTATGATACGAAGTACACTCTCAACTGAGCCGACTCGCTGGCTATCACATTTTACGCTCTACGAGTACAGTGTTTTTGTGTTTGGGGTGTCACTGTCTGTGTGCGCGCGTGTGTGTGTGTGTGTGTGCGTGTGTGTGTGTGTGTGTGGTGTGTGTGCGTGGGTTGTTGTTGTTGTTGTTGTTTATTTTACTTCGCAGATTCTAACGGGCAAGTTGCCCAATAACAAGAAAGCGAAGGCAAAGAAAATAATACTAATAAAAGAAATAACCGGGGGCAGCAGAAAATGAATAATAGCTTTAAGAACTCAGATGGTGAGCCAAGGAACAAATTTCCATGTTATCCCTAATAA